AAATTCACAAATTCCACAGCCAATGAGTGATTATTTACCTAATCTCATCACTTTAGGACGTATTTTTAATGAACACAATACGTTTCTTACATTCTGGTGCACTTCACAGGGTTTTGTAAAATAAATCTCAATGAATAAATATGAAAACCTGACTCCCATACTAAAAGCACATGGCTGCCTCATTTTATAAGTATGTTTTTCACAATTTTACGGGCACAGAGTCTTTTAAATTTTCTAAGATCCTACTGCAGTATTGACCGTCAGTACTACCATTCAACAGTCCCAGTATTTTCGTTCACCATGCTTCGCATTTGATCAGCATGGTGCAGTACCATTTTTAGGAACGACATCCATACAGATCATCAGAGCTAACATCACACCATTAATTCATGAAAGCAGTCGTTGACTTCGTACCGCAACTTACCAGACGTAATTGAAACCTCGTCACACAACCAAGACGATAACAATGAACATGAAATTATTTCAGAGTACTTGAAAACAGCGTGTCTCCAAAATCCATACCGGTTGATTATGCATTCAATTCTGTAAGACCCATTGATAATGCTGTTTCCTAATCTATCCCGGGAGAAAGCTCTAGTTTTTAATGCTAAGCATCAAGACAATTTTACGAAAATGTCACTGTTTATTAGCACAGTAGACCAATAGTTTGTTTTATACACGTAAATTCACATACGTGGCACATATGTAAACTACTTCTCGACCTGTTCATTCTTCCCTCCATATTTTGATAATTGTGCATAAAGATGATATCCGAAACATCATAAACCGGACTTTAACAACTTAACATTTGGCCGCTGCGATAGCAAAAAGGACTGGCATGTGGAATATCTTATGTGGCTGATATGCCACTTTTCCACCAACAGATTCAGGTTTGATTTTCGATTCAGACTTGTGTATTGAGGTATGAAGACCTAAGTCATGTATTCGTTCTTCTCTCGTAAGCTTCTGTGAATGTCTGGTCTTTAATCGTAGAGGGGGTCAACACTTCACCGGGTAACAAGTTTCAAGTATTGATGACCCAATGTGAAAGTCTGTATGCCACGTATATCCTTTTGTAATTGACCTTTCTGTCCCTGTGCTATGTCCTCTCAGTTATTTTGATCTGGTAAGAAGAAAAGGAGGGGACATATGAGGCTCGTAATCACTCCTTGCTATTCTATATATCAAAATCAGATGACCTAATCTGCGGTAGGGCAGGGAAAAAAGATCTAGCTTCTCAGGCCGCTCTGTGTAAGGTTAGCACCGGAATTACACAGATAACGACTCTCTGTATCTCTTTCATGGTATTTGAGTCACTTTGAACAGGAGCTTGCAGCCTGGACGGAGCTTCCAGGTTTTTATCTCACTACAGATGCGTATTGTCATCATCCAGGCATCCCATGCAGCTATATCGAATGTTACTTTGTTTGTTAGAAGGAGCTTGGGTCTCATGACCTCCGAAGAATCTCGACTTTGCCCGTGTGGCATTGTAATTCTTCTGAATGAAAATTCTTCAACCCAGAGGGCAGATTTTAAATATTTCAAATAGTTTATTCTGGTGAGTGTTTGTTCACCAATCCAGTTTTTTAGGAGATATAGTTATCGACACCATGTCCAATCCTTCCCCTTCACTTTCCATTGGGACCAGCAGCAACCCTGGAAGAGCAACCGGCAGAGAAGCTCCGGAAGCTGTGGAAACCTTCACATACCTGGTCAGTATCATCAATGAACAAGGAGGATCCAATGCTGACGTAAAGGCAAGCATAAGTAGATTGTTTTCACGGTTGAAGAACAAATGGAACTCAAAACAACTGTCTACTAACATCATTGTCAGAATCACCAATACGAACATCAGACCAGTCCTATGGTACAAAGCTGAAACTTTGAGAACTACTACAACGATCACCAAGAAAGAACAAGTATTTGTATGCAGCTGTCTACACAAGATACACAATGTCCGCTGACCGAAACCATCACCAACAACCTACTGTGGGAGAAAATAAACCAGCTTCCAACTGAATAGGAAATTGCCAAACGACTTTAGAAATGGGAAGAACATATATTGAGGAAGTCATCAAACTGCATTATAAAACAGGCGCTAACTTGGAATGCAGAAGAAAAGCGGAAAAGATGACCAAGGAACGCACTGCGTCGAGAATCGGGAGTAGACGTCGAAAGGTTGAATAGTAAGTGGAAACAATCGGGAAGGAGTGTTCTGGACAAAGCTTGATAAAGAATACTGCTTGGCGACCTATCTTACTCCTCAAGGGTTAACTGGCACGAGCAAGTAAGGGTTATGTATACTGGATCAGCTAACCAGAACATATAAGTACGCGTGACATGTAAATGCATCTAGGACTTGTTATGACCTTGGATGTCTGACTTTTCGATCACACGACCTATCGACCAATCCGGATACGACTTATACGGATCTTCACACTAGGCCAACCAATGACGTTCAACCGGTGTGTGCAGTTCAGCGTCCTTATTGGTCCTATGTCCTACGAGCCCTTCCACTTGAGTCCAGAACAAGATACCAGCTTCCGAATCAGAGCAGATCGTTTATTTCAGGCATACTTGGTTTATATATCAATCACACAGACCGCAACGTACCATAAAATAGGAAATAATATTTGTACACAAATAAGCCCAAAAAGTGGCTGTGAATGTGGGAGGCAGTAGTTAATAAACTGAATATAACTTAAGAACCGTAAATTGTACAATAATAAATTATAGGCCAAAATAAAGCTTGTCATAAGAGGGATATAAATATACGTAATGTAATTGTTGAATAGTTATACAATAAGAATATTTATAGAATATTAGTCTATGAATAGTCCTCGGAAGTTACCTGTAATTTAATCTTCACTCGGATATAACAGAACTCATCCTTATCGCTCACCAAATTTTTTCAACATCAATGTAATATGGTATTGAGGGCTGAACTATGCTTGGGAATTTATCTGTGTACAGTAAAGAACCTAGAACAGAGCTTTATGGTACTTCACATATTACTACTATCCACCAGGAGCAACTGGAATTTACTCTTACTTTCTGACCATGACCTTAAACGAAATAATTAATTTACTGCAGGAGAGGTCCGTCAATTGCCAGATTTTCCAGTCTCAAGAGGAGTCTATTATCCGGCACCTTATCAAATATTTTCCACGGTCTACACAGTCAGCACTCACTGATTTTCCACCCTGTCAATTTTTTTATATATGGCGGTTTATTGTACAAGACAATCTTTTTCTGAAACCATAATGTTCGCTGTTTAGCAAGTTATTTGTTTCCAAGAATATCATTCATGACTTTTTGATTATTCTGTCCAGCATTTTAACCAAGATACTGGTGAGGCTGATGAGTTTGTAGTTTGATGGAAGCTGTCTTAATCCTGTCTTATGAATTTCACCCTTCCAGTTTATAAGTAACTCAACTTGATCGACTGACACTGAATATCGTATTCAGCAATATAGCAAACAATTTGTCTCACGATTTTGGACTGTAAATCATCCATTGATTCTCCCGTGTCTAAAGTGCTGAGGGCTTTTAGTACGTTGTTTTGGCGAAAGTTCTTAGTGAGCATCCGATTTCGTGACTTTGTATTTGGGTCCAAACTTTCATCTAGAAGAAGCTGCTGAATGAAAACTATCCTCTCCTTTTCCTGTTCTCCCTCTGTCATTTGAGATGTACTCGGTTTTGCAACAAGGTTTTAATTTTATCGTGTGTTTTTTTCTGTACTTTGTGTATCAGAACAGTTTTCTCGGCTATTTGACTACAGATTTTGCAAAATGCTTATCATATAGTCGCTGAACTGCTCGGATTTTGTTTAGACACCTATTTCGGACGAACCTGTAGCGCTTCATAGTATTTAGTCTGCTGTGTCCACTACGTTAATTCATGTCAATAAGTGTTTACAGATGTAAAGATAGCAAGTACAGGCAGTATTTTCAGGGAAGTACACAACAAATCTCATGCTATTGTGGTGGACCAAACAATATATAAACGCAAAAGTATCAACAAAGTTAATAACAATCAATAGTAATATTAATATTTACAAGTTAAATGTTACAAATGCAAAAACAAATTAGGGACGTTACCTAAATCGGCTAGTCGTTGCGTGTTCTGTTGAGTTTTGGTCTCAAAAATCCACAATTATAAATGCGTAATAATTCCACAGAGGTAAATATGACGCCAATAAGTTTCTTTGACGTAGGATATAATGGGAATGACACTGCAGTCTGAAATGAGGATAATATCCAGTTTAGAACGCAATTGACTTGGTAACGAGCGAGAATAGAACAATGGGTATGTGCGTAATAGTGTATTTGTGAACAACCGAAAATGTGTGTCACGCTATTTTCGAATTACAACGGAAAAAGTGTTCAAGGTCGTTGACTAAAACAACACGTACAGTCATTTAATGATAAATGTACATACAGTGAAAAATTGGCAAAACAAATAGAAATAACATTGAAGACTATTTACAAAATAAGGTTGTCAGGTCTATCTCCACACTATATTAGGAACGTGCTAAACGTTTATGACAAATTATTGGTCAGCTCAAAAGCAACGACTGTTACCTGATGACGAATGTATATAAAATTTTTAGAATCAACACATTTTCTATACTTTTGAAAGGGTTAAATTTTGTTTCACTTTCTAAATTGCATTGCGACCTTGAGTGCACTAATTAAAAAAGGTAAACTGTACGACATTTGAAACTATTATCTTCCACTTTTTCACTTCGTCTCCTGGTTTGCTTGTATAGCACATTTGCACATTACTAGCTACTGATTCTTGTATCTATTGATAAATTTGGTTTCTTGTAGTGAGTTTACTGAGTAGTTGCTTATGGTTTCATCATGTTATTTTAATCCCTTAGACTCTTACTAATACACTTAAATCCTTAAGAAACATATCCTCAGACAAAAAATAAATATACCAGCAACTAAAGTTGCGAAACACCTTAGAATCACGCTACTTTGTGACTCATTTTGATGATACCAACTGTAAAGGAACGTCAAGCTGGAGCTTATGATTTCAGAAAATATTATGAAAATCTGTGTGCGCTGCGAAATTGCTCCCCGCTCTCTGTAATCACAAGCCATGTTGATAATGGAGTTCTTGACATAAGTGCAGATAGAATAAAGTGAGACAAATTTTGTCTATTCACAACTACTTAAAGGACTCAAGAGTGGGATCCAGTTTTTGATGCTATTAAAATCAACAAAAGCCTGCATTTCATTGCAATCAGAAGTTTCTATCAGTATAATAGCGTTTCAGGTGAGCATTCATTTTTGAGTTATCTGTTCGATCTATTGTTTTTCTATTTTCTGCTTGTTAGTTCTATATTTATTTTTAATTAAAGGGTGTTAAAATAGCTTTTTGCGTTTTACATACTTTTATTTTGTTTACCCATCGATGTGTAGTTAAATTCAGTCGTTTAAGGGTAATCACTACTTTACTGCACAGCTCGATGCTGACTTGCCTAGTTTCACTGACTAGATTTCGTAAATATCTACTAGAGTGATCCGGCCCTGTTACTTCTAGTAAAAGCTGTACATTCTGAAATAACTGTTGGAAGGTTGTAGACGTATTGTTCATACTACTTCATAGTCATCTGTAAAGGAAATCCTTTACGTACGTCTTCACTTCCTAACAATTTCATGTTCCCCAAAAGATTGATGACAATATTCCTGATGACTACCAGGAAGTTTGAGCTTGGTATTGATTACTTCAACCATCTTAAATTCAGAGCAACCCCCTTAAGGTATTAAAATGCTAAATATTAACCTTAATGAAACATTTCAATCTTACGTGAAAGGCAATTAACTTCTAAATTAATCTCATTTGCTTTTATAGTTTTTAAATAAAATCTGTTGTACAGGACACTGTCATGCTAACTACAAATCCGAGAAATGATTGACTTCGAACCAAATTTCAGAACATTAATATTAGAAGTAACGCCATTGTGGTATTTGTACGAACTGATTATTCCTTTGTACTTGATTGTCCATGGATTACAAAGTCCATGCTTAATATGTTTATTTGTGTTCATCTATTCCTACATAACTCCGCCTCTAGCGCTTCTGGAGTTACTGCCAGCCTCAGGCTCAAGTAGAGGAGAAGGGCTGGGCATGTGGTCGGCAACCCCATACGTAAAATAACTTTTGCTAAGAGACGCCAACCTGAATAAATAAATTAAACCACCAAAGCTCTGCCCTGGTAGTTGGAGAAAGAATTATGACGCCTCATGGTGAAAGCCGAAATTCTTTGGAAGTCACGAGGTCGATACACCTTCTGACAACCGGAGTAACAATTAACACAGGTACATGGGATGTCCGGACAATGTAAAAGACCGGGAGAATCAGTCAAATAACCACGGAAATTAGGGGATACAATTTGATAGTACTCGGAATAATCGAAACCCATTAGAACTAATCTGGACAGAAAAAAATAGCTTCGGGAGAGATGCTGCAGTACTTTGGTCACATGGAGGAAAGTGCTCCACACACTTAGGGAGTTACTCTGATGCTGTCCAAAGAAGTACAAAATGCACTTGTTGGGTGGGAATCTCATAGATATAAGATCATGAAAGCATCTTTCAAAACAAAGAAGGAGGGAATCACAATCAATGTTATTCGGTGTTATGCACCCACCAATGATAGCAACGAAGACGATAAAGATCAGTTCTACTCTAAGCTGAAATCAGTCATAGCGAAGTGCCCAAGAAAGAATCTCACCATCATGATGGAAGACCTGAACGCTAGGGTCGGAATGGACAACACCGGGTATGAAGATATCATTGGACGACATGGACTGGGAGAGCGAAACGAAAACGGGGAGAGATTCGCAAACCTATATACCTTCAACAAATTGGTTATAGGTGGCAAATTATTCCCACACAAACGCATACACAAAGCTATATGGGTCTCACCGGATCACAACACGGAGAACCAGATTGATCATATTCGCACCAGTAAAAAAATTCAAAAGGAAAATGAAAGACATGAGAACCAGGAGAGGAGCTGACATAGCTTCAAATCATCATCTACCTGGTGGTCGCCAAAAGGAAACCGAAACTAAAGAGACACTGGACAGCCTGAGAAACGGCATTACAAAGGTTCAATACGGTCTTCCTACGAGATACTAACAAACTCAACGAACTCAAAATAACTCTCAACAACAGGTTCCAAGCCTTACACGATCTACTCAAAGAACAGGAAACTACTATGGAGAACAGCTGGAAAACGATCATAGAAGCATTAAACTCAACGTGTCAGGAAGTGCTGAGCCGCAAGAAGCATTATCATAAAGAATGGATCTCTTTCGAAACCGTGGATAAGATTCAAGAAAGCAAGAAGAAGACGGCAATTAACAACAGCCGAATAAGAACAGAGAATGTCAAGGCGTAAGCTGAATACACAAAAGCAAACAAGCGAGTGAAGAGGAGCATTGGAGCTGACAAACAGAAATACGTTAGAGACCTAGCAATGAGAGTTGAAAAAGCTGTAGCAGAAGGAAATATGAGATAGCTATATGACACAACACAGAAAATAGCAGGGAAATATAGCAAACCAGAGAGAGTGATCAAGGACAAATAAGGCAAGTCAATTACCGATATTTAAGAACAGAGATACAGATGGATAAAATACTTCGAAAAACTCTTGAATAGACCAGCTCCATTAAATCTACTGGACATAGAAGCAACACACACAGACCTTCCTATAGATGTCACTCCATCAACGATCGAAGAAATCAGGATGGCTATCAGACAAATCAAGAGCAGAAAAGCAGTAGAACCTGACAATACACCAGCTGGAGCGCTGATGTTAGACATAGAAGTAACTGCAAGCATGCTCCACTTTTATTCAGGAAGATTTGGGAAGAAGAACAGGTGCCACCGACAGACTGGAAAGGAGGACACCTCATCAAGGTACCAAATAAAGATCTAAGCAAATGTGAGAACTACAGAGGCACCACACTACCATCGGTATCAGGAAACGTTCTGAACAGAGTGTTGCTGAACCAGATGAGAGACTCAGTAGACGCCCAACTTCGAGATCAACAGGCTGAATTCTGTAAGGATCGGTTATGCACAGACAATATTGCAACACTACGGATCATTGTTGAGTAATCAGTTGAGTGGAACGCGTCAGTATACATCAACTTCACAGAATATAAGAAAGCATAAGACGGTGTGGATAGAACCTTATGGAAAATTTTTCGGAACTGTGGTGTACCTTAGAAGATCGTCAACACCATCCGAAATTCATACGACTGACTACACTTCAAAGCTGTTCATGGAGTACAGTTGACAGGTGCATTCCAAGTGAGGACCAATGCTAACTCTACCTCTTTCTCTTTCTTCTGGTGGTTGACTGGATTATGAAGACTTCCACATCTCAGAGGAAGCACGGCATACAGTGGACAGCTTGTGTGCAGCCAGACGAGTCTGACTTCGCAGATGGCCTAATTCCTCCACCCCATACATACCAACACAGGTAGATGAAGACAGCCAGTGTAGCAACAGCCTCAGCAGCAGTAGGTCTCCATATACATGAGGAAAAACCCGTGATCTTCGAAAACAACATGGAAAAAACCAACACAATCACGCTCGATGGAAAAGCTCTGGAAGCGGTGGAAACTTCTACATATCTTCTCAGCATCACCGATAAAGAAGTGGGATCTGATGCAGACGTAAATTGGAGGATTGGCTAAGCAAGAACAGCATTCCTACAGTTGAAGAACATATGGAACTCAAAACAACTGTCAATCAGTATCACAGTCACAATCTTAATTCAAACGTCAAGACAGTCCTACTGTATGGAGCTGAAACTTCGAGAATTACCACAACCATCATTGAAAGTGTACAAGTATTTATAAACAGTTGTCCACTCAAGATACTCATTATCCGTTGGTTGGATATCATCAGCAACAGCCTACTGTAGGAGAGAACAAACTAACTTCTAGCTGAAGAGAAAATTGGAAAAAGACGTTGGAAGTGGATAAAACATGCATTACGGAAATCACCAAACTTCATCATGAGGCAAGCGCTAACTTGGAATACTGAAGGGAAACGGAAAAGTGGTAGACCAAAGAACACGCTACGTCGGAAATTGAAAACAGACATGAAAAAGATGAATAGCAAGTGGAAAAATTGTCCCGAACAGGGTTGGATGAAGAGTGCTAGTGGGCGGCTTATGCTCCTCCACGAGGGGTAACAAGTGTAAATAAGTAAGTCCTACGTGCCTTAAATATCACTAATCCGGGAATTTTTAGTTGGTATATAACTCAAATACTTCTACTCATCATAGCTCCATCACTCGTATACACATATTCATTCCAGTTAATAACTTTTCATTTCCTAATATTCAGGTCAACATCATTTTAGAGAAACTTACATTCTATTAACCACCGAGATAACACATAGGAAACTCTATCGTATAAGTTAACTCCTCAAATATTTACCTCTATTGTTCAAATTGAAAGAAATTTTTATCATCAGCTAGCTCCAGATGAACTATAGCGCTGATAGATCCTAAACAAGAATGAAGTAGTTATTAAGTACTGATTGACTTTCATTGGTTTTCAACTTAGTATGTCACAAGTATTTAGAAACGGATGAATTAGGGCCAGCATTAGAATTTAGGACATGCTTTTCATGTTATTTGAGACTCGTCAGGTGTATATATCTCCATCCAACTGTTGACCTTTATGGTGGGACTATTCACAAACAGACTGAATGCGCTCCCTTCATTCTATTGATATCCTCAGTTCATCTAATTTAAATCAACCTTGGTTGTTTTTATGTAAGCGTATGTGTGTGCATCTCATATCTTACTCATCACATGTCTGCAACTTATTTTTGTCTGACTATAAATATCGATTCACGCTTGGCTATATTGAGTTGTCCCACTCGTATCCTTTCGCTTTGCTTCGCTTTCCGATCGACGATTGTACGAGATATACATATTCAAAAATCCGTCCTCGTGTTTGACTTACTTAGTTTCGTTATTCATCAACGGGAGTTAAGTCGATAATTATATACCAGGATTGGCGATATGTTTATTTTGATAGCAGTCATTGCAATAACAATCATTCATATGATCTAATTGTAGTCAGATTTACGGCCACTAATGTAAGACAGTGTAAACTAGAAGTATATTCTTGTAATTGTCTTTGAAACATCCCTCGAAAAAGTTGGGACTGTTAAGTGAATAATACTGGAATTATGAGTAAGTTATTAGGTAAAAATAGCCTGACTGAATAGAGTAGAAATCTTTGTCACCTAAAGTGGTTTAGACATAATATTAACTATTCTTTGTCCATCGTCCATATCAGCGTTCAGTGTAAATTAGGCCGGCAGTAGATTAAAAAAAAGATTTTTAAGTGAGTAGATAAAAACCAGGGATCAGTTTATAAAAGCTATTAACTGTCAATACAATGCAGACTTTTTAGTTGGGACCCACTCAATGGTCATAATGTATAGTTAGAAACATTGAGTGATTATCTAAAATCCGTCACTGGGATTCAGCTGCTTTTACTTTCTATCTTCCCTTAAATCTTTACTTTATTGCTTTTCTGTAATTTTCATCCTTTAATTTCATTTTTAAACTTTATTACAAAGTTGATATTAACTTCTTTTCCGTACTTTTCATTTTCTTAATTTTACTCTATCTCTTATCGTATTGCTGTGAAGTAATGATACCGTAAACTAACTGCATATTTTTGTAAATGTCAATATCTATGACTGAATGACCATATTATTTCAATCTCTTTCACTGTTCGTATAGGCTGTTTGTATCTTTTCTTTGATGTTATGGATTGTAATATTCCAGTTAACCTACTGGATGATCTAAACAACTAATGCAGATGAATTAAACTTAACTCTGTTGCACAAGCAAGTGATTAATTGAACTCAGTAGCTAAATAGACAACGCGTTAAACATTTGAAGCTAGTACTGGGTCCGAGTCTCGATGTGAACATTGGCACTAAGATGGAGGTACATCCAGCTGACAAGTTCCAAACAGGACGAAATACAGGTCTTATATTCCTCTTCTATCTAACATCAAACTCTTTCTCTATTCATCTTGAAATGATAATATGGTACGGCAGCTTGTAACAATGCATACTTTACCAGGCTCTAAGTTGATTATGGCTTTTGTCAGACTAACACTAGTTTTATCAAGATACATCTACAGATGTTATTGTTTTCCCATTATCTAGACAGTGCAACTTCAACCAATCGACGACGTCCACCAATTTTACTATCCAGTTCAAAACTTTTATTAAATTTATGCAAAGCATTACGTCACTGTGCATGTGTTACAGAAAAATTAACATTTTTAGAATTGCAGAATCTTCCAATCAGTAAAACAGGTTTATTACAAATTTGTGAAGTAAGTAGTATCGTTAGTTTTTCATTAAAAACAAAATTATTTACTATGATACATGTTTATTTTGTGTTAATATTCTGTGTATAAACATAAGTGATTTTGTTAGTCAGTGGTCTTCTTGTTAACTTTAATTCACTTTACGGCTTCAGTCAGTAATTCGTCCTCGAGATCTACCACTAATCGAACACACATCATATTATTGACTTTATCAATCGATCACCATTCCATTCATTGATTTCAACATTCGAAAGTTTCGTCTCATTATTATTAATTATTAATATTATTATTAATTTATGTAGAACATTTTTGCCTACTGAAAAACAATTAAGTAGCAAACTTTGAATGCGAATAAAATGGGTATGCTAGATACGAGCCAACAGTTCATCAAATAATACATACATTCAACTCCATAATATTTGTATGCGATGAATTTACCCAGTAAAATCAATTCTAGAGAAAAGAACAGACTGAAAAAAACAGAGGTTAATTTTTGATGACAGTATTTTGTAAATAGAAAGACGAAAAGACAACTACGTTACACTTCTCTTATTAGACTACAATGTCAGACTCAACCATTAGTATGATGAATGACAGTGTTCTGCTCAAGTGAAATACTTCCAGAAAATTAACCATTTAAGCATATATTTTTCATCGTTAGTTGAAATCGAATAGAGAAACATTGGGAACATAGTAGTGTTGAACAATATTTCATCATATCCTAAGAATTTCGTAACACCGTTTACACCTCAGACTAAACACAAGCGAAGGAAATGAGTAAATACATCTACACCATTGCAGTAATTTATGACCTGTTTCAACAAACTCCTACAACTGTTGGTTATGATGATCATATAGGCTTTCAACAGGTAGTCTGCACTTTGAAGCAGCACCTTTATAGAATATATATTCAACAATAAACAATACAAGTGATGATAAACTCTTTACTTTAAAGAGAATTCCTAATTAATAATAGTTTTTGAAGCTTATGAAATTCGTTTTTTTTCTGTGTAGGGTATCAGAAAAAATCGTACATTGAAACATTTGTCATTTGAAGGTTCTTCCATAAATGATGATGGTCTTGAAGGTAGGTTAAATGTTTAAACAAAACCATTGTTTAAATAGTCACTTTAGGATAGTTTTTGTTAAATATTGACAATGAATATTTTGTTTTAGTGAGTTTATAAGATACATTCAAAATGTCATATGTGGTTAATGAAGTAAGTCATTTCTAATTTTAAAAAAAATACTTGTCCGATAGGACTGTGATGTGGGTTACTTATATTCACATAAGTAGTATAATACAGTGGTCATGCATAGAATGTATTTCAGTAGAAGATCAAGAAGGAAAGAATGGGAACGGAATGCATTTGGTATGAAAATGCATGAACAATGAAATCTGAGACAATGGATTGATATTTTGCACATCAACTATTTACTATATGGTTCTCAGATTTTATTGAGATACTCTGTAATTTCGTGTCTAATGCATTCGATTATCCCCACTCGTGTTCTTGTTCACTACAATGCTTTAACTCAAGTAGTTTATCAATCGGCGAGACTCTACTTTATGGACGAGCCAATCAGAGGAGATTTAGAGATTTCTAGGTTACGGAGCCAATTTCAGTGCTTAATGCTAACGTACGATCGGTTCACATGGAATTTTGTACAAAACATGATAATTGAGCAGCTATAACAAATAAAACGGCGAGACTATAATTTGTGGATGAACCAATCGGGTATAAGATAACAGATCTCGGATATTAACACGAAAGTCTTTCATTCATTTGGCTAAATAAATTTCTGGTATTATAGCTGATGTAAGTTCGTGATGAAAACCCCATATATCATTACGACGAATATTGCGGACTGGATAATAAAAGCACCCGTAACACTGGCTGCAGCCAGGTACTATAATATATATGGATGTTTGGAGAGCTCACGGACTCCTACATGGGCTTGGTTATGTGCATCGTGTCGTTGTCCGCAAGTAGCATTTTGTGCGCTCAACAACCGGAGTGCATATAAACAATACTGACGCTATGTGGTCGAGGCTGAAAGAGTTTTTGAGACTTTATCATGGCTCCAGAGACCGACTGTTCTATAGCCATATGGATGGTTTCCTCTACTGCATGCATTAGGATTTTAGGACCTCTGAACCTCTTTCTAACCTTGACAAGTTTTTGAACCATGTATCAGAAGTGTATCCACTTTATTTCCTTGGTTTCGTATAACATATTTTTACTCTACACTGACTGTTTGCTGATTGGCTAATATTTCTCAAGGTTACTTAGGATTCGTTCAAAGGTCGTCCATAAATTAAAGTCTCGCCAAGCAATCTCTTGTCCAACAGTTTGCCCTAACATTACACTGAGAAAGTTACTAAGCTATTAATTCAATAATTTAGCTGAATAACCCGGCTAAAATCATTTTACGAAAGGACTCTAATTAATATTAAATAATAAATTGATTATCCTCACCTGAGTCTTTGTTCATTGCACAATAACTCTATAACATGAGAAGTTTGTGGAATCAATGAACTTGTATATGAGGTTTATGATATTTATGCTATATATATATATATATATATATATATATATATATATATATATATATATATATATATATATATATATATATATATATATATATATATATATAAATCCTGTATTTATGATTGGAATCAGATATGACCTGAGTGAAATTCAAGTGTTATATAACAGATTTTTATTTGACATTAATCAAATAATTAAGGGTGTTTTTTTCTCATTCAATCTCTTCAAAGAAATTTGCCGAGTTTTACGTCATGTCCCAAATATTTCAACTCTCAATTTAACATCATGTAATTTGTCAAAGGATGGAATCTCTGCATTGACTGTACTTATCAATGTAAGTAAATAAATGATCAGTAATTTTCAACAACAAAATTTGGTTGAATAACTGATTAAATTGTTTTTAAACTATATATACTACTTTATACGAATATTCGTCAAGATTAGAACGAATAGTTTGACAGTAATTGAGCGCCGAGTATAGAGTAGTCATTATATGTGAAAATTATATTTGAAATATTTCAATCGCTGAGAATATTTCAAATATAATGTTTACATATAATATATACTACTGTAAACTAATATGAGTAGTTTAAAACATTTTCCCATTATTTAACTGAGGTTTTTCCATGATTCATTTTCACCCATGTGTTTTAATTATTATTATTATTATTATTATTATTATTATTATTATTATTATTATTATTATTATTATTATTATTATTAGCTTTGTTCAATATTATATTTTTGGTACAATATAGAATTCTCAGCGCAAAGTATTTCAACAAGTTTCCGTTTCTTTCTTCTTGGTCGGTCCTGGCGATAAATATTGAGGGATCGCCAGTTAGATGTTAGCACTTCAGTGAATGAACATCTGAATAATGTGCATTCTTTTCGTTGTATATTGCCAGCAACCACATTGTCTCTTATTGAGTTTTTTGTAACTTTGACAACGAAAGGTTTTACACTTTTCCGAAATGCACCAGGATAGGTTATGCGATTAATAAACATAATGATATATCAAAACAAACAAAAATAGATAACTTGTTGAAATGTCCAGATGGCAGGGACAGGTAGCCCAGATGCTCAAGCAGGCCATGTATCGAAGAGTTTAAAGAATAGGTTGAGACGAAAACATTTTTGTGAGTAGGCCATTGAAAATTGATCATCAGATTAGATAATTTTTGATTTCTTTCATAAAATACAAATATTTGGAAAGATAATCAAAGTTTAACTTGTTACAGGGCACTACTATTTAAATAGTTGTAGTGTCGGTTACTATATTGAGCCCACATAGCTTATTCTATATTCCGGACAGGCCAATTCTATTCATTCTTCTTGAGTCACACATTCTGACCTTTTTAATTATTCACTTATCAACCCTGACTGTTTTTATATTAATTTATGTGTGTGTACACTTCTTATTCTATTCATCACATGTCTGTAACCTATTTTAATCTGGCTATAAATATTGATTAACGTATGATTAAATGGAGTTGGCTCACACACAGCTTTCCCACTACGCGTCATTTCTCTACACTCTCTTGTATTCGCTTTATCTCTCTCATTTCCTGTTCAGATCAGTGAGTGTACAAAATATACATATCCAAAAATCCATTCTCTTATTCCAAGTATTTAATTCCGTTATTCACCTACGCGATTTAAGATGATGATTATATTTCACAGGTTGAAGTCATGAGTCAATTGAAGCTAGACCACCATGAAAAACCTGGAAGCACTGGGTGGCCGTTTCGTCCTAGTATGGGACTCCTCAGCAGTGCGCATCTACGATCCCGAACCCAGGACCTACTGGCTTCGCGCGCGAGCACTTAACTACTAGACCACTGAGCCGGCATCCAACGGTGTTAATGTTTAACTTCAACCAATCGTGGATGTGCACTGCTGAGGAGTTTCATACTAGGACGAAACGGCCGTCCAGTGCTTCCAGGTTCTCCATGGTGGTCTAGCTTCAATTGACTCATGATTTCAACCTGTGAATTCTCTAAAACTCTCCACAAAACCCATTCTGATGATGATTATATACGAAGATGACCGACATATGTATTTCAATAACAATCCAATCTGGAGTCAGATAAAGGGTCACTAAATAGTTACCAGAAGATTATATTTATGAAATATACTGTCAGATACTATAACCAAACATGAATAGATGTATTACTCATTGTACAGACAAATAGTTGCTACCTATCTTAATGAACGCAGAATTCTATGTAGGTAATTATAAATATCGTTTGTATAGATAACGAATAGTACATTGTCTTAGTAACTATTTATTTATATATATGTGTTTGAGTTTGGATACCTCTCGAACACTTAAGTTTAAACGGGTAACTTTCTTGTGGGGCTAATTTTCAAGTCTTTAGATTGGAATTCTAATCTGCAAAAGAATGAAACAACATCGATAGATTCAGTACCATGATCACTGTTAACGAACGTAGGTTCATACTTCTTTCACTTCATTAGGATACTGAAGTCCATCAACATCAATTGTTTGAATTTAAAAAATTTTAAACTCCTTATAATAGATGGAACATCGGCATCCACAAATCCATATTAAACCTCATATATTCTCTTTCCGTTCCCTCATTTTCGTAAAAATACACCAAGCCATTTTGATGATAGTCAGCTTAACTTTTTTTTACAGATGCTATCTATTAGTGTCTGTATAAGAAATTTCCAGAGGCAGGACAACATCTCCTCAATCTCGGTTGTAACATAGCATTTGTGTGCAACATTCGAACAAAGAATTAACAACTATTCAATGTTTTTTTTATAATTTCAAATACTTCTACATTTGATACCAATCCACTGTGATTGACTCTTTTTAAATCTGTTTATCTACTCTATGATATCACTCAATTGACATTTGCCATTGTTGCTGTGTTACCGAAATGTGATTATTTAAAACAGAAATATGACTTTAGTTGTTAATAACTACACTACTGATAGATTTATTCAAATATGAAATAAGTAATATAGAAGTTACACTTGTTAAAATAAAACACTGACTCCTTATAACAAATATAGAGTACTGTATATGTAATTTCAGATGATTGAGCAGTATTTTTAACCGGTAATACATATCTGTTCGTACAGAAAGTTAAATCAAATCTTGATTAATAGTATGCACTTGTCAGCATTTCTCACTTCTTACTAAGCCTATGTTTGATTGACCCAGTGTATTAGAACATCTATTTTCTCAGGAATGAACTGATGACAAGTATTTTGTTTTATTTATTTATTTAAATACATAAATATTGGTACAAAGAGGCATCAAATAGATATGTGCCACATAAATCATTCGATTTGTGTGAGGGCTTTGATACTGCCCGGGTGCCTAAACCGAAGCAGGTGGTTTTCTCAGGGGGTCACACCCTGAGTCTTCGACCTAAAGGTCTGATCCACAATGCAGTTGACCAACCTCAGGAGATGGAGTCCCATATTAGCCAGTAACTAACAATAGGTTCACACTCCATTTGTTCCTTCAGGATACTGGAGCCTATGTGCACCATTGGTTTGGAATGAGAGTTTTCCAACCCCCCTAGGCGGACTCTCCGTGTTCACCAACCCGGTTAAAGCGCATAACATTCGCTTTTCGTCTTCTCAATTTCGTAAATAACAGTAATACTGCGAGAAGACAGTGAGTAGGACAAGTATTAGCTAACACGAAAGATAGGTTCAAATATTCCTATCCACCTTTTCTTTTCTATAAACATTAAAATTGATCATCTTTACATCAATTCATTTTAATGAATGATCATATTAAATTTCATTTCACAGAATCTATTAAGTAACATCAAAAAAGTGAAAATGGAGAGACTATAATTTATGAACAACCTGTGAACGAATCTTTAGTGATCTTGAGAAATATTATTAGCCAATCAGGAAATAGTTGGGATAGAGTACAAATATATTATAGAACACCAAAGAAATAAAGTGGATACACTTCTTATACATGGTTCAAAAACTTGTCAAGGTTAGAAAGAGGTTCCGAGGTTCTAAAATCGTAATGCATGCAGTAGAGAAAATCATCCATGATAAGGTCGCAAAAACTCTTTCAGTCTCGACCACATAGCTTCAATACTGTGTGTGTACTCCAGTTGTTGGGTCCACAAAATGCCGCTTATGAATAACGATACTATGCACATAAACAAGTAAATATACGCATCTGTACATTCTCCAATCATCTGTATATATTGTAGTACCCGGCTGTAGTCAGTGTTACTGGTGCTTTTTTTATCCAGTCATAGTTTGACATAGTCTCAATCTGGATCGAGCAAAAAAGTCCTATTCTAGTAAACTTGTTCCTCCAACACATATTATAACGAAAGACAACATCATTATGGTAGTCTCCACAAGGTCCACAAGTCATTTGATTACCAAAATCACAAATAAAGGAACTTTTTAGTAGTCCCATTTGTTGTAGCCGCTCAATCATCATGTTTTCTCTAAAATCCACTGTGAACCGATCGTACGTGAGCATGAGGTACTGAAATTGGCGTCGTGACCTTGAACCCCCCCCAAACGCTTCTGATTGGCTCGTTAATAAATTATAGTCTCTCCGTGAAAATATTATATAATAGTTACTACTTAGTATCCTGTTTATTTGTTTTCTCTCGATTTTTCCAAGTGTCTATTGTCAGAAAATTTTCCGGCTACCCACTAATTTATGAAAATTTTAATAATCCAATTTCAGTATTTTATAATTTAGTAATCTTTAATCAATAGTTACTATCAGTCATCAAGTACAAACTCTTCCTTGTTGTATAATAAGGCTTCGTAAGTATCATTAGCAAGATTCAACCTGATAATGTTAAACAAACTAAGTATTAGACAGATTCTAGATAATAATAACGTTGGACATGCAATTTTCTATTCGTTACAATACTACAAACATATTATTAGTTAATTATGTAATAATAATGCCTTCTAAGTTAAGTTCGTTAAAAAAGCAGTTTTAATCGAAGATGTCTTCAACCCATCATTTATACTGAATAGTACTGAATAGAATTGACAAACTGGTTGATGATGGATAGTGGCTAGCAGTAGAATCTGAAAAACTCTTTTCGTCCTATTTGAGACTCGTCAGCTGGATGTACCTGCATCTCAGTTGGTGTTCACTCTGGGACTCAAACCCTGTACCGTTCACTTCAAACGCCACCTAGCTATCCATCTTTGCTAATAATGATTGTGGATTAAGGCAATATCGAGGCAATACACACAGTATGCACATATACCAATAAGAGACTGATCAATCTCATTCCTAAACATCAATGGGAAAATCCAAGTAAACAATACCAAGTGAATTTTATTTCATCAACTTAATTG